GAGGACATCAGGATCTGCCATCTTTAGCAGCGAACTTCAACTTTAAATAAACAAAATTCAGAAAAAAAGAGATTAGTTAGGCATAAGGACATAGTAATCATTTTAAATCTAGAATAATCAACCCATTAGGTAGCTGGCAGCTACCACCCTTGAAATGCCACAAAGGTAATCAAAACATTGTTTTAAAAGACTCACAATGTCTAAGCGTTACAACAGAGAATAAGACTTTTCTCTAGAGTACAAGGATTACACTTAAAAAGCTTGACATATTTCTTAAATGTTAATTTTTATGATCTACAGTGCTTGATTCTAAAAAGTAACTTACTACTTATAGCAATGATATATTGTATCAAGCCCACTTTATTTCAGAAAGAGGGAAAAAAAAGATAAATGAGGTCTCACTACCGTTAATGCTATAGATCTTAGGGAATGAGGTAAACCCCTGAGAAACTTAGCAGACAGCATATCCTTAAAGTGTTTTTATTTCTTGAGTAAAATTTTTCTAACAAAATCTATTCAGGGTCTTTTACATAATCACGCTCTCACAATAAAATCACAAAAAGCCAATAAACACATAAGTAATCCCTGGATGAGTGTTTGGCAAAATTACTGTTATAAATCTGAAAGAAATTAACACTTAGATCCAGATAGCTTTACCAACCTTGCAAAGTTGGTAAACCTAATGACCAATTAAGTAAACAGTCCTTAAATTAAAAAAAAAAAAAAAAAAAAAAGCCCAAGATACCCTTAAGTACTGGATCCCTTCGTGCAGGACAAAGCAGAGGCTAACGGTACCCAATCCTCATGTCATGACCCAGAAGACTGTCTTCTACAAGTCCAAACTGGCATGGGCTAGACTCACGTGGCTGTTTAAAAAAAAGCCTATGCTTTGGAATTCAATTAGCCTGCATTTTAGCAGCTATATGATCCTGAACAAATCCCTTAAACAACTTTACATTTTACTCTGAGATATAAGGATAATATCAATTACCTAAATGAGGCTACTGTGGTGAATAAATGAGAATATTAACCAATATGCTTATTAGAAATACTTGTTGATAAGGATAGCTTCCATATTGATTTAGTATGTCTCATACTAGAAATGACTAGGCTACCTACACACGCTACATCTAGTGAAATTTCCCTACACTATAGAGAAATTCTTAACAGAGACATCCCACTGAACTGTTTCAGTGGAGAATTATATTCTGTTATTACCACTAGGTTCTATCAAAACTTTTATTTATAATCAGTGGTTATCAATGAAATCAGACTTAAAAGCTTTTTTAGAATATTTTTAGATCCACCGTACTATACTATCAAGATATTCCTAAACAACCAATCTATTTTGGGGGAGAAATACAATGTCCTATGTGTAATAAAGAAAAAGGAAAGTCAATTATAATATTTCAGATTGTAAATAATCAAGCGTGGCTATATACAGGAGATAAAGCAGCACCTAGATCCTGAGGTCCTAGAACCTTCCTGTCATCCCAACACTTAAGGATGCTGAGCAACTACCTGGGTTCAGCACCGGAATAGCATCATAGCAACTGGGTACATTTTGTTCTTCTTTCCAATTTGACCTATACATTGTACTTGATCCCAGTTTTTTGTTTGCTTGTTTTACATGTCAACAATTGGCAGAACACAACACATAACCTCTGAAATATCCAAAAGACAAAATATGGCACACAAATGTCAAAATAAATTACTTTTTCAGTATTATTTCCTACAGTTATATTGGCCTCCCTGGCCTCCCACCCCATACATTCCATTTTCTAGACCAGTGATTTTCAACCCCGGCTGTAAAGCAGAATCATCTGGGGAGCATTTTAAAATACCCATCCTGGGCCCCACTCCCAGAGATTCTGTTTCAGCTGGTCTGGGAGAGCCAGACTAGGCATCATGTTATTATTTTTTTTAAGATTTTATTTATTTATTTGACAGACAAGATCACAAGTAGGAGAGAGGCAGGCAGAGAGAGAGGAAGGGAAGCAGGCTCCCCACCAAGCAGAACGCCCAAGGCGGGGCTCGATCCCAGGGCCCTGGGATCATGACCTGAGCCAAAGGCTGAGGCTTTAACTCACCGAGCCACCCAGGTGCCCCGGCATCATGTTATTTTAAAAGCTCTTTAGGTGACTCCAGTACACAGAAAAGTCTGACTACTGTTTCAGACAAATTTGGTGGGTCGCTATTACGTGTCCTGCCAATGCACATTATCATTTCGCCTGTTTCCTTTGCCTGAAACACCTGAGGAGCCCTAAAGATTTGAGCAAGGGAGTGTTATGAGGCACCCTGCAGGACAATAGTTCTGGGTTTTGAATCCCAGTTCCACCATTTCCTAGACTGTGACCCTGGAAAATTCTGTTTCCTCATATATAAAAGTGACTGACAGCACCTTCCTCATAGATTTGAAGTATGGATTAAATGAGATAATTCAGGTAAAGTGTTCTGCTTTCAGGGCTGGAATCATAAGAGTACCATTAAATACTGGCATTTTATAATAAGACCCTCTATTAGGAAAGTGACTCTTAGAACAATAAGAGAAATGAACTGAAGTATTGAAGATGGAGGCACTGAAAGAAATATTAGGAGCCAAAGTAACCAAACCTAAACTAAGGAAGATAGGGCAGGATGAATGAAATTTATTATAGAAACAAAATTAAAAGAATCTGATAATATGTTGAAAATGGAGTAACAGAGTAGGAAAATTTTAAGTAGTAATTCGGGTTTTTTCTTTTTTTACAATATTTTTTATTGGTAAAATACAAATAATGTATAATTTATCAATTAACCATTTTTAAGTACACAGTTCAGTAGTATTAAATATAATCATAATGCTGTACAATCACCACCACCCATCTCCATAACTCTTTTCATCCTATAAAAGTGAAACACTACACCCATTAAACAATGACATACTTAATATTATTAAATAATAACATATAGCTATTTGCTTTGAGCCAGTGTAGCTAGGAAGAGAATACTGCTACTGTGAAAAATGGGCTAACACCCGAAAAAGGAAGAGGTTCGTAAGAAATGAGGCATTCACTTTTAGATGCTTGTGTCTCTGAGGAAATAGAAGGGAATAGTCCATAAGGATGTCCAGCAGGTAGCTGAACAAAAGAAAGTGAAGCTCAAAGAAGGCAGCTGTTCAGCTTATCTCTAAATTCTAAAATCATCCTTCCTGACCATTTTGTTCTCTCCTCTGCAGACCTCTACTTCCCCACTTACGATGAATCTCCTACTCAGTCTTTGGATTTGTTATGTTACTTAAATCAGAGGTCTCAAACTGACAGCCTCTGTCACATTGATTGACCCAAAGAAGATTTTGAAAATTTTCTGAATTAGTTGTCAACACTGAAAAATTGTTAAATTTCATATAAATTTCCATTTTAAGCTTGAAAACTGGAAATATCTAAGAAAAAAAGTGAGACCGTGTTCCCACACGAAACAATAACCTGAAGCTGAAGAGAGCAGTTGACAGTTTTAAACATGGAAGGAGACTGGATGGTGTCTGCAGACTTTTGGAAGTATGACCTTATAGCACCAACTTCTGCTTCTTCTTTTTAGACTCAGAGTCCATCAGTCAACTCTTAGCCTCACCCACCTCCCTACCCATCCAGACCCCCAAAGGCAAGTTGGTTTTGTTTTTGAACCATGTTTTCTCATCATACAAAAATTTAGACAGGCACAGGCACAGGCATAGAGTTGGAGAAACAAAGTTGAAATGAATGCTTTCTCTGCACTGTTTATCCTTGTCAGCCTCATCTCCAGGCACACTGTTCTTCTCTCAATTCCATGAGCCACACATGGTTTCTCCATCACCAGGCCTGGAAGAAACAGCACATGCTGTTCTTTATGCCCACAAAGCTAAGCTCAAACTCCTTCACATATAAAATGACATTTCTCAGAGAGACCTTCCCAGATTCCCCTTAGTAGCTTAAAATGTTCCCCTTTCACACAGAGCTCTTCCCCTTTCTTCCTTGAAGTGAGCAGATTTGTACTTTCTTCATGTCTCTCTCTTGGTCACCACTTTGCAACATCCAGCCAAGCTAATCAAGCACTTTCATAAAACTTTCCCTAAGTCTCCTAAACACGTGTTCATCCAATATGCCCACCCCGCCAGCTTCCGCCCTCCCCCCATACCCAGTTCACTTCCTCCCCTGCTGCTTCCAGAGTAGAAAAAGACAGGCTACTGAAAACCCTCACCTTAAACTTCAAATGGCTTTAAGCAGGAGGGGACAGGCTCAAATTCGCTATTTTAAAAAGATTATGCTGACTACAGGATGTAAAATAAAGGAAAAAGGAGTAGATGGGGGAGTCCAGTTAGATTATTTCAGTATACCACTATTCCAGTTCTAGAAGAACTTGGATCCTATACGACTAACTGTGATTTTTTTTCAGTTACCATGTTTCATGGTATTTTCCACACCTTCACACACAAAGCGGCATATCACCGCAAAACCTGTGGACCAGGTGCCCTCCAAGAACTCGGTTCAGTAATGTTCTCTCCTTCCCACTGACAGACCCCGAGCCCGTAAATTCCCCCGGAATGTGCCAGGTGAGTCCTGGGGCCACACTCGGCACATCCAAGCCCGTCCTACCCGAGGTCGCACACTGGCCGCTCCTGGGTGAATGGTTCTTTGGAGGACCAAATCAAGAGAGTAGTTAAGGGGAGGCGGGTAGCTAAGGGGAAAGAGAGGAAAATCCTGAAATGCGACGCGGACTAGGGAATCGAGAACAAGGAACAGGTAACAAGGTTTACCAAAACGAATCCTCGAACACTCCCACTAGAGCTTCCCTCAGCGCCTCAACTACCGGCTTAAAGGAGCCACGCCACTTGTGCGACAAAGAAAACGCCTGATTCCTGCGACCGGCTTTGGAACCCACCCACCACTTTTTTAACCAGGCCAGCCAATCAGCACAGTGAGGCCTTCAATCAAGACAGGCACGCCCTGACTAGCCAATGAAATTGAAGGTTTTCCCTTCCATACCCAGCTCTGGTTGGCCTACCATCCCGGAACAGGCGTTAACTCCAGGCTATAGCAAGATGGCGTCCCTGGATCGGGTGAAAGTACTGGTATTGGGAGACTCAGGTGAGCGATTTAATCCACCTTTAGGGCTCCCGATACTTTTTGAGTTATCCGATAACCCTCTTCCTTCACTATTTTTTCCGCTCCCGCAACAATCTGGCTCCGGCCGCGGCTGAAAGCCCTCTCAAGGTCTAAAAACTACACTTCCCAGAGGACTTCTCTGTACTTGAGGAAGGTGGCGTTGCGCGGGTGGGGCGGGATGCGGGGGCGCAGAGGCCCGGCCTTTCCCCGCCTTCGCAGCTTTCCAAGTCGGTCTCCCTGGCGACCACAGCCTAGCTTGTATTGTCAGTTCCTTTGTTTTAAAAGATATGCGGACATTGAGTATTGTATCAGGCGCTGTGAAGTCGGGGCCCTGCCTTCAAGAGATTTTGATCACTAAGGAATTCAAACATGCACTAAGAAGAATGATACTGTTCCAAATGCTTTACATATATCAATTCTTTTAACCTGATAGCAGCCCTATTAACCCCATTTTACAGATGAAAAAAGTGAAGAGGAGAGAGGTAAATGACAGAACCTCCCACGCACTTAAAACACTAAGCCATATTATGAAATGAAATATTGGGTGGTAGTCCTATTTTACTCTCAACTGGGTTTCTTGATTTCTTTGTTCTCTGTAATCCTAATTGAAAACCTATTATGTGCTAGGTTGTAAGAGCAATTAAGATAAAGCCATATTATGAAACAGGTGGGATTTAATGCTGAGCTCAGTTTAATCCTAGTGTTAAAATTCTTCTTTTGACGCCTTGGACTTTTGAGAACTAAAATTGAAGTCTGCATTTCCTCCTCCTGCCTGTCTACCCCCCCCCCTTTTTTTTTTAACCATAACTTTCACTTCTGTGCTCTTTAAGAACTTGGAATAAATGCTAACCTTGCATTTCATAGATGTGATTTTCTGGAGTTGACCTGTGAATATGTTCTGTGAGCAGAGACATTGTACCAGATGCTTGAAGGTGGAGAGAATATACCCCAAACAGCTTGAAAACTAGCCTTACAGACTGTGTACAGTTGTGGAGAGGAGGAGGTTAAGAACATTTCCACATTGCCTGAAGATTATTTGCATTGCAAAATATTTTATAGATAGCATTATTTAATATTCCGTTAAGAAAGTTGCATTATGAAATTCTATGAATATAATCCATTTTGTCAACTCCAGTTCTTTAGCTTGAAGTGGTACTGAAATTGTTTTAATGAAGTCACTCAGTTTTATATAAATGAATAAAGTAATGATGATCTAAAGGGACTTGGCACCAAGTAAAATTGGAGACTGGAATCCAGAGCTAACATGGTTCATGATACCTGAAGTGGTGTTCTTTTTCACTTTTAATTCGCTTTTCTATTGCATCTAACAAGCCCTTGATGTTACAGATTGTTGGAACTAGTCGACTTTTTCTTTTTCACAAAAATACTTAAGTACCTGCTACACAGCAGGCACTATAGTAAGTGCTGAGGCTGTGGAATCAATGCATTACATAACAGGGTTGAATTGGCTGCTGCATTAAATGTGGAAAAGTGATCAGGCAGTTAGTAAGCTTTTCTTTTTCCTTATAGTTTAGCTGTAAAATAGAACACATAGTCATGCCCACTTGATTGATCTTATCACACATTCATGGATGTTAGGTATGTGTGCTGTCAGTTATTACCTTTTTATCAGTTCCCTTTTAACATTAATTTACTGACAGGTAAGGATATACTTTTTACACTTCATCTGCCTTGGTATTTAAACTTCAAAGTTGACTTTTGAGTAAAGGCTTATTTCCCCTGTGAAATTTTGAGGAGTTATAAATATATAAAAGAATGACTTGAGGGGCGCCTGGGTGGCTCAGTGGGTTAAGCCTCTGCCTTCAGCTCAGGTCACGGTCTCAGGGTCCTGGGATTGAGCCCTGCATCCGCCTCTCTGCTCAGCAGGGAGTCTGCTTCCCCCTCTCGGTCTGCCCCTATGCCTACTTGTGATCTCTCTCTCTGTGTCATAAATAAATAAAATATTTAAAAAAAAAAAAAAAAGAATGACTTGAAATTTAGAGACGTGTTTTGTAGCCCCTAGAAATATTTGATAATTTAGTAAGGAATCCTCAAAGTCTAACTAATACACACATATTTTTTTCCTCTTTGTTCTTTCAGAGATAAAGGATGAGCTTAGCACATTACCAACAATTATATTTGAAGCTGGTATTTATTTAATTATTTTGGACCTTTTCCCCCCATGCAAATCAAGTGCATTCTTTTGATCTGATTTGGTTGTTTGGTGAAGACAGAATTAGTACCTCCCAAAATTCTTAAAGAAATGAATAGTTAGCCAATTTTCCTGGCACTTCCATTGTTCTTACTCTTGACACTCTATCCAGTGTCAGTCAATTCTTAACCATTCAGAGCAGTTAATTCGTGGAGAACCATACAGTATTACTGCATAGATCCATTTACTGACACGGTTATGCTTAACTGGAAGTTCAAGGCTTTCATCAGACTGATAACTAAGTTCTTAGATAAATGCCTCCATCATAAACAACCTATATACAAACACGGAAATCAACAGTATGTCCTAAGGTCACAGATATTAGATGCAGTGCAGTAGATACAAAGAGCCAAATTTGAATACTCAAAAATCTTAAATGTCGGTATTGAAAAATATAAAAAGAATTAAAGGGAAACCTGGGAAAATATTGGATTCAATTACATGAGACAGCTAATATAGAAAGAAGTTATGTAAATTGATAACACCAAAAGCCATTAGGTAAATGGGCAGAGAACATCAACAGATAATTCGTAAGAGAAGAAATATAACTGATTAACAAAAGTAGGTGTAACGTAGATCTTTACCAGAAGGTAAAGAAATGCAGACTAAAGCAAGATGTCACTTTTTTCTTTTGTCAAATTAACACAGTTGAAAAAGCAACTACATACATACTGTTGAGGTGCAACAGGACCTGCAGGCTTTTATGTATGGCTGGTAACAGAGTAACCAGATGAAAGTTGTCAACATATATCAAGAAATTGAAGTGTTCATTGCCTTTTACATACTAATTTTGCTTCTGGGAAGGTATACTAAGGAAATAATTTGAATTTGAAACGAAAATTGAAACAGTCCTCTCAGCATAACAAAAAATGTAAAACACCCTAAATATCTAATAATGAGAGGGAATGGTTATATAAATTGTTGTCTAGTCTCTGAACTACTGTGGAGACATTAAAAATGTTTGTGAAGATTCTGTAATAACATGGAAAATTTTAGCTACTAAATAAATACTAATTAAGGCCCTGTTCTGAATACTGGAAATAAAAACGATGAGTAAAACCCAGTCCCAACCCTCAAAGAACTTAAAGAGAGTGGATAAAACCTTAAACAAAGAAGTGTAATAATGTGTTTTCTGTGCTTTGTAGAAAAATGTACAGGGTACAGTGGAGACCCAGAGGATGGTGGATGGTGTCCTTAGTTCTATCTCTGTGGAATTCAAAAGGACTTTATAACTAGAAAGATGCTGAGTCTTGAAAGATTAATTCACCAGGCCAATGAGGAAGGGGAAGTGAAGGGGAAGGATGGGAGGATATTCCAGATAGATCCGGCTGTTCAAGCAAAGGCGTAAATTGTATTGTTTTTAAGTACACCATGTGTATATTCATAGTAACAATGTGCTTTTGGCGAAACCCTGCTTGTGGTATTAAATAAACTTACATGTTCCTCATGGCGCTCTTCAGGCAATTTTTTCTTTTTTAAAAAAAGTTCTTTCCAGATTGTCTCTGAATACAACTTTTTATAATAAACAGAACTTGTAGGTTCATACACGGTAATGCATACAAAGAGATGGTCTAAATTTTTGATACAACTAGTATTGCTTAAAGAATCACCAACTATGCTTGTTATCATGGCACCCCAAGATGCTGTTAATTGATTGAGTGACTCTACATACAGGTATACAGAAGAACTCATTCTCTTCCCTATTCACACAGATGTCCTAGTGCTATATCTGGCATTAATAACTATACTACCATGAGCCCAAGGGATCTACAAGAAAATAGGGTGCTGCCTTAGAGGAGGGACTGGAGTGTCTCTCTTTTTCCAAACGGTTAAGTCTGAGCCAAGTTGTTGGCTGCCTTTTAAAAATCAGTATATGAGAAAACTAGAGTGTCTATAGAATTGTGAAATGGTGAATACCTGTCACTGACTGTATTCAAGCACAATTTGGGAGAACCACTGTCTTTAATCATCTTCCTTTTATCATTAAAGCTTATTAAATGGTTGGTACAGTGTAACCATCCTTTAAACAACCATACTTTATATATCATTATTACTGACATATGTTCAGACTTACTTTTGTCATAATAAATATTTCAGCGTATCTCTTTATGACTAGAGTTCTTTTATCTTTTACAGGTGTTGGGAAATCTTCACTGGTTCATCTTCTGTGTCAAAATCAAGTACTGGGAAATCCGTCATGGACTGTGGGCTGCTCAGTAGATGTCAGAGTATGTGTTTCTGATATTTTAGTTTTTCTGTAGTCGTATTAAAGATACGTCCTTCAAACTACATGATTGAATTATAGTACTTTAGTCAAAATTAATAATAATAGCTGGGCTTTATTAACTACTTTCTCTGTTCTAGATACTATGCCAAATGCCTTACATGTCTTTTCTAACTTAATCTTTTTAAACTGTTAGGTATAGCTGCAGAAACTAAGGCATAGAGAAATAAAGTATCTCAATCAAGTTGACTCAGTGCAAAAAAAGCAAAATCAAGATTTGATCTTAAGTAGTCTTAATCCAGTCTACAGCCGGTATGGACCCAGGTATACACCCTGAATGGACCCGATCTTGTCTAAATAGTGTTAATCCAAAGAGTTCAGTTTTCGCTGCTGTGCTATATATCTAGAGTTCACATAACACACTCCCTAAATAATTCTATCTAATTCTTTGGCACTAAGACAGACAACTTTTGGCTAGAAATATATGTAAAGGCAAAAGCTTCTGGAGCCTTAGGTCTAGGTCTTCTGTTCCACTTCACATTTGGGAAACTCAGTTGCAGTGTCCACCAAATTAACCATCTTTGCAGATACTGTTGGTCTTTGCTAATCCCAGCTAGTCCTTTTCGAATGTCTCTTCTGCTAGCATACATCTCTCCATTGAGTTAAGAAATAAATAGGGAAGGAGTGGTAATTAGCTCGATTGACAATTAGTTTCTTTTAGTTCTTTGAAGCTTTTCCACAGATTGTGACTTACATTGCTGCTGATTGGAAATCTTTTGTCAGCCTAGTTACTCCTTTTGAAGGTAATTTCTTCTATTTGCTTTTAAAAGATTTTTTTTTTTTGGAGGTTCTGTGGTTTTACTAATATATGTCTAGATATGGGTTTGTTTTTAGTCATCCTATCAGAAGGTTGTGCCTCTCAACAACTGTCTTCATTTTTCAGAATTTTTAGCCATTATCTATTGTCTTCCCTCATTCCCTCTAGCCCCTCCTTTTGCACTTCTATTAGATTTTTGTCCTGTATGTCTTAATTGTACTTCCATGTTTTCTGGTCTTTATTTATCCTTTGTGTATTCTGGATCATGTGCTCATATCTGCCTTCCAGTTAATTAAGAATCTCTTCAACTATGTCTAATCTTTTTAATATATGCACTAAGTTTTTCATCTTTTTAACTGTAATTTTTTATCTCTAGATACTCCTTTTGGTTCTTTTTCAAATGTCAAGATTTTTCACAATATCCTGATGTTTCATTATGGCTTTACTTTTTATTTTAATCACTTTCAACATACTATTATATGGTTTCTTTTGGATTTTTTTTTTTTTTCTGAGTGAGTCTAGATATTCTAACGTGCTGTGTATGCCAACCATGTTTCTTGAAAAATGTGTCTCTTTGTATGGTTTATAATTCTTTGAAGATGATCCCTTCTTCAGCAGAATTTTTTTTTCCCTCTTCTCTCCCTAAATAATTAGGGAGTAGAAGTTCTGTGTGCTGTGTTGTGGAAGTATGGTACTTTTTCATTTCTGTTGGTTCCAGAGCCCTAGGGATCTCAGTGGTACTTGAAATTTCTAAGCCAAGAGTTTCCATTCCATCTAGATAATGTATATTCTCCAAATATTTGATTAGAGTACAGGCCTGTGGTTTCCATTTTTTTGTGGACCTTTTATTCTGTACCAACCCTACCTAGGGTCCCTGACAGAAAGTTTTTCCTGCTTTCCTGAGCCAGTGAATGGTTTTTCCTACTCTCTTTTACTGCCTGGGCCAGATTTCTTGATGGTTACTATCATCTGGTCTTTCTCACTCACCTATGTATATTCTTGCCTTAAAAGCCAGAAAACAGATCTCTATTCCTGGATGGGCACTAAAACTCCAGGGACTGGCCCCTGAAGCTATCTCTGAATCTAGGTCAGTTCCTACTTCTCAACTCTGTTTTTAAGTTCTTTTCTAGCATCTGAGTATTTTCCTTTCTTTTTCTTGAGCTTGTCCTCTTTATTTTTAAAAAACATTTTTATGGCATTTCTATGAATTTGAAGTCAGAATGTCTGTGAATGTCTATGTCATTTCAGCCTGCCATATCCCCAAATTCTTAGCTGTAGAAGAAAACAAATACTAGATAATAAATTCAGTTGGCAACTTGTCAATAGCAAGTTCTGGACAAAATTTCCTTATGGACTTTTCCTAAATCCCTTTCTGTGAGAGAGCACAACATTGAAAAGAAGAGAGACATGAAAAGACATTTCTCCAAAGATATATACAAATGGCCAACAGACATTTGAAAAATGCTCAACATCACTCAGCCTCAGAGAAATTGAAATCAGCACCACTATGAGATACCACCTCACACCAGTCAGAATGGCTAAAATTAACAACTCGGGAAACAACAGATGTTGGTGAGACCTTGCATAAAGGGGAACCTTTGTACAGTGTTGGTAGGAATGCAAACTGGTGCAACCACTCTGGAAATCAGTATGGAGGCTCCTCAAAGAGTTAAAAATAGGGGTACCTAATGCAACATGGGGGGTTAAGGGAGTAGGAGAAGAATAAATGAAACAAGATGGGATTGGGAGGGAGACAAACCATAAGTGACCCTTAATCTCACAAAACAAACTGAGGGTTGCTGGGGGGAGGGGGGTTGAGAGAAGAGGGGTGGGGTTATGGATATTGGGGAGGGTACGTGCTATGGTGAGTGCTGTGAAGTGTGTAAACCTGGCGATTCACAGACCTGTACCCCTGGAGATAAAAATATATTATATGTTTATAAAAAATTTTAAAAATTAAAAATTAAAAAATAGGGGCACCTGGGTGGCTCACTGGGTTAAGCCTCTGCCTTCAGCTCAGGTGATGGTCTCAGGGTCCTGGGATCGAGTTCCTCATCGGGCTCTCTGCTCAGCGGGGTGTCTGCTTCCCCCTCTCTCTCTGCCTTTCTCTCTGCCTACTTGTGATCGATCTCTCTCTCTCTCTCTCTCTCTCTGTTAAATAGATAAATAAAATATTAAAAAAAAAAAAATAGAGCAACCCTACAACCCAGCAATTGCACTACTAGGTATTTATCCAAAGGATACTAACATAGTGATTTGAAGGGGCACATGCACTCCAATGTTTATAGCAACGATGTCCACAATACCCAAAATATGGAAAGAGCCCAGATGTCCATCAACACATGAACAGATAAAGAAGATGTGTTTTATATATATATACATGTGTGTGTATATGTGTGTGTATTTATGTGTATATGTATATATGTGTGTGTATATATATATGTGTATGTGTGTGTGTGTGTATACACGTGCACACCACACACACAATGGAATATACTCAGTCATCCATTTGCAATGACATAAAAGGAACTAGAGAGTATCTGTCATGTTAAGTGAAAAAAGTTGAAGAAAGACATATGATTTCACTCATACATGGAATTTAAGAAACAAAATAGATAAACATAGGGGAAAGGAAGGAAAAATAAAATAACATGAAGAGAGAGGGAGGCAATCCATAAGAGACTCTTAACTTTAGAAACAAACTGATGGTTGCTGGAAGGGAGGTGAGTGAAAAGAAGGGGTAATTGGGTTATAGGCATTAGGGAGGGCACTTGATATTATGAACACTGGGTGTTATATGCAATTGATGAGTCACTAAATTCTACTCTGGTAACTGATAAAACAATGTATGTTAACTAAATTGAATGTAAGTAAAGAATTTTAAAAAAAGAAATTCAGAGTTAAACTCCCACTTCCTGGGGCAGTTCCCATATGCCTTTTGCTTCCTCAAGAGTGACCTTAGACTAATCAGTTTACTTCTCTGAGCCTCAGTATATCTTCTGCAAAATAGGGGTAAATTATATCTGCTTTAGCTAGCCTACAGGTTTGTAGGTGATGTTATACTGTGACTGATTTTACCAGAATGAGTATGGCACTCACTGACTCCTGTAAAGCCAGCTGGCCTGAATTGCGTTATTGTCAAAGAATGGGGCATATGGAGGTGAAAGTTACCTTGCTTTTGTTAACTTTTCACTATATCTTGGGCTTGTTGGTCTCTGTCCTCCATCTTTGAGAAGAATGCATTTCTTGAATGACGACATGAATAAAAGGCATTTTTAAATGATAATCTTAAGGAAAGTTGCCATAGACATGTGAATTGTTTTAACTATTGCTATAATAAAGTGAACAGTTCTTTCCTCTAGCAAGAATGATTAAATCTGATAAAACCATTACGTAAATAGCTTGGAAGAACACTTTCTTCTGTAGCAGCTTTAAATTGCAGTTACAGCTTCTGTGTTATTGAAACCTGAGGGAGGTTATCCCCAGAATCCTTGTAGATCCATGAATACACTCTCTTCAAAACTCTTAGGAACAATTGCCCCATTTAGCTCATTTCACATCTAAGAGCCAACTAAAAATAGAGCTGATAAAGGTGATAATGTAATTGTTTAATTTGAAGTACTGGGTGAACTAATGAGCTTAATGTATATACTCAGTAATTACTAACATTTTGGATTTAGTATGTAGTGGAGAGGTATTCATACTGAATTGAAGGGAAAAGAGAAAAGTTTTATTTTGCAGTATTCCTTATTCATTACTCTTCTAATTTTGTTGCCCCAAGTCTAATGGGACTAATATAAATGCATGGCTACTCTTAATTATAAAAATAAGACTTACATAAACTAATCTTTTCACAAATTATAAATAAGGAAATTGACTTGTCATTTCTAGTTCACTTTAATGGGATTTTAACTTTCTAATTTACACATTGCATACAATCAATATTTATTGACTTTCTCTTTGGGCAGCATAATAATGTGCAAGCACTGAGGAGAAATTAAAAAAGAAAAGATAATCTCTATCCTCGCTAAGAATGTGAAGTAATGTCTAGTAGGTGGGATAAGGTTTATATATATGAATGATTTTAGAAATAATAATACAAATGATATCTAATATTTCTTAGTGCTTACTTTGGCTAGGCACCCATTTTACATACTAGTTCATGTAATTCCCACAACAACCCTTCATGGGAGGTACTGATATTGCCCCTATTTGATACATGAAGCAGTGGTGGTACAGACAGAGTTGTTAAATGTCTTGCTCAAGGTCACATCGCTAGTAAGTGATAGGGTTGGGATTCAAACTCAGTCAGTCTGGTTAAAGAGCCTGTGCTCTTGGGCACTGCTCTGTACTGCCTCTTGTTCCAGAATGGTATTAAGAAAAAAGTATTCCACTGCTATTACATACAATAACCACTAGAGTAATGTGGCAATTTAAATTTAAATTAACTGAAATGAAAAATTTAGCTCCTCAGTTGAACTAACCACATTTGAACTGCCCAACAGACACATGTTGCCAGTGGTTACTATACTGGACATTTCTATCATTACAGAAGGTCCTGAGATACCACTGAGAGAGAATATAAGTGTTACAGCAGCTCAAGAGAAAAAGTGATATGCTTATAAAGAATGGAAAATTATAGGGACACCGAGATGGCTCAGTGGGTTAAGCTTCTGCCTTTGGCTCAGGTCATGGTATCGGGGTCCTGGTATCGAGCCCCACATCGGGCTGTTTGCTCAGCGGGGAGCCTGCTTCCTTCTCTCACTCTGTCTGCTTGCTTGTGATTTCTCTCTCTCTGTCAAATAAATATATAAAATCTTTTTAAAAAAAAAAAGAATGGAAAACTATATTGGGTGTTAATGACTGAATGGACTATTCCTCAAGAAGAGGGATTATATATATATATATATATATATATATATATATTAGGTAAAGAAGAAGGAAATGATAATAAATTTAGTTCTGGACATGATGAAGGGAAAGATCTATGAGCTATCCAACTGAAACTGTCCAGAAGGCATTCAGAGATGAGGTAGGGAAGCTCAAGAGAGAATTATGAGTTGGAATCATCTGCATGGTAATAATCCCAGACCTTGAGAGTTGATGTGTTTTTCCAGAAAGCAAATTTAGAAGGAGAAGAGCTGAAGGAAAACCTTGGGGTATATTGGAGAGTTGTAGATGGGAAGAGGGGTCAGAGAAAGATTGGTCAAAGAGGTAAGAGGTGATGAAATACCAGAAGAGCAAAGGGAGATGAGAATTTTATGAAGGAAGGATTGAGTTTTGTTAATGAAATGCTATAGACATATGAGGAGTTAGAGAGAAAAAAGAATTGGTAGTAATGAAGTCATTGCTGACCTTTGAAAATGTGATGGAATATAAGTAGCAGAAACCAAATGATGTGAATAGGCAGTGAGGAAATAGGTTTAAATCAATTTTGCACAAAGTAGAGGTTAAATAAAGGAGGGAATGGGTACAGAATACAAGAGAAAAGTAACTTTTAAAAAAAATAGGGGATATGAGTTTGGCTAAAAGCAAAATAAACTTACTGGAAAGGAAGAGGCAATCAGCAGTAACCGTTATATTATTCATTCATTCGTTCGTTCGTTTAGTATGTATATTGCCTACCTGCTAGGTATCAGACACAGCAAGGAATTGGAGGTATAGCAGCAAATTAGACAAGTTCAATTCCTACTCCTCTAGTACACTCTCCTAGTTGCTCTTTTTTATTCTTGTTTCTTTTCTACCAACTCTCTCCTAAGACCTCCTGCTTTCCTGCAGGCATACATACTAAAATCATACTATTAGAGAGCATCTACAGCATCCAGTGTTCTTTCTGGATGTGTATCATTTTCTTTACTAAATTTCTTTCTGCTTTTTATTTACTTATTTTGGGAAGGGGTACAATATACTTTATTGATGTTACATGACCCTTCTTTAAGGGGTCTGGGATGGAAACTGTAAAGAGGTCAGGAGATTCTCCATGTGTTGGGGGGTGAGGTAGGGCAAGAACTCCTCATCAGCTGAGGGCCTCTCTCTTCCTGTTGCTGTCACTGGGTCTGGTGGTCCAGGGAGCTCTTATTCCTTAGAGGCCATATGGACCATAAGGTCCACCACCCCACTGCTATAGCCAAATTCATTGTCATACCAGGAAATGAGCTTGCCAAAGTGGTCATAGAGGGCAATGCCAGCTCCAACTGTGATACATAGTATGAAAGGTGTTAAGGATCACTCCTAAGGTGTTGGCCCTTTAAGTAATTAGAAGGATGAAATTGCCTTTTACTAGGAGAAAAACAGGCTTAAGGGGAAGATCGGGAAATTATTTCCAGGTATGTTAACTTTGAGATGCCTATTAGACATCCAAATTCTTGTCTGGTGGATATGGTAGCCTGAAGTTCAAGGGACTAGTCCCGTCAGGATATAAATTTGGAATTCATCAACGTAATGATCACATTTAAAATCATAAGATTAGATGACATTGTCAAGAGAGTCAGTAATAAAAGAGAAGAAAAGAGATCCAAGAACTCAACCTTGGATTACAATTAGAGGTCAGAGAGATAAAGACAACCCAATGGAGACTGAAAAGGATTTAGCCTGTGAAATGGGAAGAAAACCAGGAGAGTGTGATAACGTGGAAGCTAAGTGAAAAAAGTACTGCAAGGCATAGGAGTGGTTAGTTGTATCAGATGGGAGAGTAAGATGAAAACTGCTCATTGATCACTGGATTTAATAACATGCAAGCCATTGGTGACCTCGATAAGGAATGTTTCAGTGGATAATTGGGGCACAAGTGTGGTAAGAATGAGTTCAAAAAATGTAAGGGAAAGAATTTGAGACTGTTGAGAATAGACAACTCTCTAGAGGGCTTTTGCTATAAAAAGAAATAGAGAAGTGCTATAATAGCTGGAAGAGGACATGAGGTCAAGAGAAGGTTATTTTAAGATGGGAAAAAATATGTTCGTATATTGGTGGAAGTCCTTCAACAGAGTGGGAAACTTTGATGATAAAAAGGAGAATTGATAGAACTATACCTTTGATAAGAAAAAGGTGATGGGATCTCATGCATAAGAAGAGGGTTTGCCCATGGGGACATAGTTTATCTGTAATGGCTGAAGGAAAAGCAGATTATATGGGCACAGATGCAGGGAGGTGGATAGATATATGAAGAGCAGGTTGTAGAAATTCTCTTCTGATTGCTTCTGTCTCAGAAAGCAAGGTTCTTAGTCATTCTTAAGGTTGAGGAACAGATATGGGAAATTTGAAAAAAAAAAAGAAAATATGAAATCATTATGTAGGAGAGGAAAAGAGGAAATGGACTATGAAACTGATTAAAGGGCAGTTCCAAAGGGAGACTTGAATTTAAAATGAATCTAGTTAGCTTAAATACATATTTTTCTGAGTTTCTCATCCAGCTAGCTGTTTACAGACCTGGAATTGGGGAAAAGGTAGATACAGTCAAGGTTGGAATTTTGTCAGTTGAATACAGCGTGACAGAAGGGCAAAGGAGTGACTAAAATGATGAATCATAGCATTTATACTTAGGAAGGAAGTGAGGATTTGGAAGTGGAAGGGGAGCTGTAAATAGTGGTAGGATTAGTATAGAGAGTTGGAGTATTAGAGGGAGGAAGCTTGAAAGACAGGAGACGATCAGAGTCAGAGATAGTATGGAAATGATATGAAAGAGTCACGCAGATATGGCATGTCCAGTGCTCTAAACTAGAATGAGGATGCTACCAGTGTTCTTAGAGGCCAAAATAATTATTTTGATGGATTGATTTGTTAGGTTCATGACTACAAAGAAGGAACCCCAGAAGAGAAGACCTACTATATAGAATTATGGGATGTTGGTGGCTCTGTGGGCAGTGCCAGCAGTGTGAAAAGCACCAGAGCAGTGTTCTACAACTCTGTAAATGGTAAAGCATTTTTTATTTCTACAATATATTAATGGCCTAGGAGTATAGATAACCTTATATAGAATGCTGTGGGACACTAGCCACATCTTATTTTAAGAAGGCTCTAATATATACACAACTCTTAATTTAAATCTGCATATCACGTTTGAATTTGTGTTTCTAGATTCTAACCATGTTATTCAGAACATTAAATATTTTCTTTATCTAGGTGTTTGTATTGATATTATTGTCATAAACTAAATAAAATTTTGTTTTGGGTACTTGACATAAAACCTGGAACTTTCAAAACACTGTCTGCCGGGAGTGCCATTTCTCCAGTCAGTGGAGTACATCCAGTAGAAGGAACCATTAGGAGTCCCATCGTCTAAGCCAGATGTCACAGAGATAGAGGGATTTCTTTCATCTGCCCCTTACAAAGAATCCTATGTAATTATAAAGAGCTGCCTAAGAGTGTTATTAGGGGTGCAGATAATCAGATACCTGGAGCAGACTTCCAGATGGAGGTGTGTAATAGAGGACATAATTGGGATTCATAGAGTTCCAGGGACTACACCACTGATACCTGTAATTTGCCTATAAAGGGTTTTTTGTCTTCTGCCCCTTTTTGAGTTCATTTTTTAAATGCCTTTTTTTTTTAACTGTATAATGTAATTTCAACTTGTCTCTGATTGATATCCAAGATTTGGCACCTCACCCTTTTCCTTCTGGTAGATGCTTAGCTCTTAATTGCACCTCATTTACACTATGTTTAGATCACACTCAGTGTCAGATAAACATTGCGGTTACTCAGTGCCTTCTTCATTCCTTGTATTCCTCTTTCAGTATCCTATCTTCCCATATCATAAGGTGTTGTGGATACTACAAAATGAAGCAGAGAAGGTACTTGGCATTGGATACATACTATAAAATACAGTATGAGTTATAGTAGTTCAGACCTGTGCCCCATTTAGCTCAGAATTCTACCTGAATGTGTCACAATCTGCTTGAAGAAATAAAACATTCGTAAGTGAAACAAAACACAGTTATAAGACGGTGACACTAATATATGACATTGTCATGCAAGAAAGTACATGATAAATGGCATATATTAATAGAATGTATATAAATGAGAAAAACAGTAAGACTGGTATAGTGTTAGGTGACTTCTTAGAGAATAGGAAAGAAAGAAATGAAGCCTGGTTTAGATCTAGAATCAAGTGATAAACTTGGATTATATCAGTCAAATAACTTGTCAAAGCTGTTATCAATCCAATCTGACAGAGAAGTTTGTACGTATAACACTTTTGCTATTTAGATCTTTTTGAGAAAGAGTTCAGATAAAAATTATAAATAAATAATAAACTTAGCACTGAAGGTTCTTTACTCCATCTACCATCTTTAGTTTCCTAAGAAATGGAGCATAAGGCTCACACCATTCAAATGTGCAGACTTTATTCTTAGCAGTAACTTTCTTCTCTTAATACCCTACCTTCCTTCCTCCCACTGTGATGAGAAAGGCTGGCAATCCCTAAAGGAAACCTGTGAAGTGTCTCTACCTCTTTCTAAGGTCAGAACATACTCTGATCAACCGTCACACTGACTTCTTTCCTTGGGGCCCCACTATGGCTCTTCTAGCCCATAGTCTACAAAGCAAAAATTCTCAGCCCAAATAGTGGGAAAATAAGGGAAAAGGGTGCTCAGATGCCCTTAAAAGCGCAAAAGCCTTAAATAGAGATCCTCAAAAAATAAACTCCTCCCTATCCAGCCACTAGCTCATCTAGGCCTTTGTAATCCTTTAATCTCCCACCCAAAATTCTCACCCATAGTTTTTTTATATTTATGTCTGGGAAGTAAAGGAGAGGAGAAAATATCTACCACTCTTTGGCCTTAAAGTGACTTATTCTGCTTTCCCCCAATCTTTTACTGTCAGATTACATGAATTCAAATTCTGGCTACCTCACTTACCATGTGACTTCAGGCAGGTGACTCAATCTCATTGAGCCTTTGTTTCCACATACGTAAAAATGAAGATGCTAATTCTTTCTCATAAAACTGTTCTGAAAAGCAAATTAGATAACACATGTAAGGCATAATGTATAGCACCTAAGTGCTGAATAGATGTTAGCTGTATTCTTGAATGGTAACTCTTTATTCCTTTTCTAAATCTGTCCTGTATCTTGTATCCTTATTGCTTAATAGAAGCCCTTACTATGGAAGGTAAAGGGAGTACAGTTGACTGTGGGGCAAGTAGCAGATCTCTATTTCTCTGTCCCAGATGCCAGGGGGGATACAGATTTATCTGAGCTAGCTAGACAAAACAGCTGTAACTTGCACAAGCACCTTATTTGCACAGATGTCTCTAAAAACCAGAGGAGCCAAGTAATTTTAACTCTTACGCCCTTCTTTTTCGAATTGACATATCTCACATCTCTTTTTTTTTTTAAGATTTTATTTATTTATTTGACAGAAAGAGACACAGTGAGAGAGGGAACACAAGCAGGGGGAGTGGGAGAGGGAGATGTGGGCTTCCCGCTGAGCAGGGCGCCCCATGCAGGCCTGATCGCAGGACTCTGGGATCATGACCTAAGCCAAAGGCAGATACTTAACAACTGAGCTACCCAGGCCTCCCACATATCTTACAACTTGAAGGTAGAAGAATCCTCAGTTTCACATCCTCTCATCATAGTAGAATCTAGATAATATAGGGAAAGGTTGGGGGTTTGAAAATCTGTAGTCTTTTGACCACAAGCTAATAGTCTAAATTCTACTAGGCATTAAAGCTTTTCCTCTTTTGTCTATAATATAATAGTTATATGCTTTGTTTGTCTGCTATCTTATTTGATTCTATTAATTGTATTTCTGAGCCTCATTATATTTTGTTATTTTTCTCAATCTCTCAAAAGTCCATATATTTTCTACCATTCGTACTTTTTGACTATCTTTTCCTACCCTCTTCTAGTGACATATTTCTTTTGCTTTATTGACTAAGGTGTTGAGCTTTTTATAGCTAGCCATTAATTCAAAGAACTAAAAAATTTAGATTTTTGAGTTGATTAGGCTCAGGTGATTTGTCAGCTGAACAGTAAGCAATTATATCAAATTAAATCAGTATCTTTTTAATAAATTTTTATGATTTAGTATTTTATTGTGTATAAGTAATAATGTATGTGTGATATCTATGACAGTACTATGCACAGTGGAGAAACAATTAACTTTGGTAGGAATATAATTTCTTATATACTTGATTCCTTTTGTTGATGAGGTAGTTCAGTTAGGACAAGGCAGAGCAGGCACTCATTAAGTGTTGAATGAAGGAAAAAAAGACAGTCTAAAATGACATTTTGTCAGCCCTTGTAGAATTAAAAAGAGTTATATAACTGACAAAGAAAATTCTGTTACTAATTGTTTGTAGAAATTTGTAGAGGAAATTTTAAATTCATTGTGTGAGTTTGTTACTAGTACTTAAATGCTAGGTTTATTCAGCATCCTAACACTTGTATTCATTAAGCTTCCCTTTGCCAGTGTGAAGTGAAGAGGAATTGTTCCAGTACTGACATTATTTTCTTTGATTGTTTTAGGTATTATTTTAGTACATGACTTAACAAATAAGAAGTCATCCCAAAACTTGTATCGTTGGTCATTGGAAGCTCTCAACAGGGACTTGGTGCCTACTGGAGTATTGGTAACAAATGGGTAAGCCCAGATTTCTTCACTTGCAGTGTGAAATGGTACCGCAGTCTTGGGAATGTACCCTCCAGAATAACACTTTGTAACACTTTGTAAGAATAACACTTTGTTTGATTTACAGATTTTTTCTCCCAGTCTGTAGATCATCTTTTCATTCTCTTAACCGTCATCTCACAAGCATTAGTTTTTCATTGTGATGCAGTGTTATTGTGCTTTTGGTATCAACTCTGCTTAATCTCAGATCATGTAGGTTTTCTCCTGTGTTTCTTTTAGACAGTTTATTGTTGAAGGTTTACTTTTAGATCTGTGATCTGTTTTGAGTTAATTATAATGTGTGAGGTTTTGATTGAGGTTGACTTTCGTGTATGAATGTCCAGTTGTTCTAATACCATTTTTTAAAAAGATGATCCTTTCTCCATTGAATTGCTTTTACTCCTTTGCCAAAAATCAGTTGACCATATTTATATGTTTCTGTTTTGAGTCTATAATTCTGTACAGTTGATCTGTGTGTCTATACCTTGACCAATATAACACTGTCTTTATTATTGCAGCATTATTGTTAAGTCTTGAAATGAGGCATTGTGCTTCCTTCCTTTTCAAAATTGTTTAGCAATTCTAGTTCATTTGCTTTTCCATATAAATTTGAAATCAACTTGTCTATATTGACAAAAAGTCAGCTTGGATTTTGATTGAATTGCATTAAGTCTGTAGATCAAATTAGGGAGAATTTTTGTTGCATCTTCCAATCCATGAACACAGTTTGCCTCTCCATTTATTTTTTAAAGCAAATCCTAGATAATTTTATCATTTCATCTATATTTCTGTGTATTTTTATTAAAGGTAATTGTATCTTTGTACCTGTGTAATATTTGTTACACATATTTTATCTGTAATTTAATTAAAGATAACTGTATCATTTCATTTATATGTATTTCTGTGCTTAACTTTATATGATAAGGACTTTTTAATACAACCAAAATATAATTGTCACACTTAAAATTTGCGAATAATTCTTCAGTATCAAATATTATTTTAATTTCCCAAATGTCTTATAAATGTTGGTTTGCTCAAAATAGTATATAGATGTGGTCTACTCATTGTATTTAGTTTATTAAGTTTCTTTTTAATCTTTACTTTCCCCTCCCTTTTTTTGTTTTTTTTCTTTTACTCTCTGGCAGTTTGTGAAAGATGACTTGCTTGTCCTACTAGTTTCTTATATTCTGGATTTTGCTGACTGTATCCTTGTAATGAGTGCTTAACTTGTTTCTCTGAATCCTAAGTTTTCCCTAAAATGGTAGTTAAATATAAAAAGAAGGTCTAAAAAATGCAGGGTTTTGGGTTTTGTTCTTGCCAAGGCAGTATTGTACTTATAATTACAATACCTGGTTGTCTGTCTCTTTGTGATGTTATCATGTCAACCAGCCTTGTTATCCGTGATAAAATTCACCATCAGTTTTTCACCTGTTGGTTTTAAAAAAAAAAAAAAAAAGGATTTTGAGATCAGAATTCAAATTGGATATAAGATTAATGAAAAAGTGAATAAAAAGGAAAGCTAAAAAGATAAGTGAACAAATTAAATATATATGGCAACATAGATATTACATGTGTAATACATATATATGTTGATGTGCAACATATATATTATGTGCCATGTCTGTACATATATTATATATACAGTATATCAGTATGTATATTTATTAACATATGAGAAATTATACAGGACTACAAGTGACAGAGATAAATGTCTATCAAAGATGATGGTTGATAAAATATATACAAAAACTTCCATGTGTGCCAGAGTTAGTGAGTATATAGGAAAAGGAAATATTCCCGAAGGGGGACACTCTCAAAACTTTATTCTCTAATAAGGCAAATTTTAATTTTAGACAATGTCTCCTAAATTATTGTTGATATTGATAAACAGAATCAAAGGCCTTGAACTCATGCTGTCATTGACTTTAATGCAATAAATAGAATGATAATATTTTTAAGAAATGGGGGTTAAAAAAAAAGAAATGGGGGTTACAGAGTTCAAAACACCTGTGTTCCAAGGCTGAACAATAACTGAGGCTCTGTAAGATAATTGTGAAGGGCAAAAAGATTTGATAATTTTGCACACACCCACTTACATACCCCAAGTTTAGATTATTCAAAGAGAAAGAAAAATAATGTCAAAGGAAGAAGAAAAGCTAGCTCAACTGGGTTTTATTGACTGTATTGTGCAATATTGATTTCCTGTCATAAGGTGTTTGCAGCCGGATTTTGCTGACTATTGTAAATTGAGCTTGTAACATGCCAGAAATCCAAATGTGTTTTATTTCTCATATGTGAATAGAATTTAAATTAATTGATCAATATTGGGCTCTATATTTCTTTCAGTAATAGAAGGAACACCACTGTGTCCTTTAGTTAAAAATAGGGAGAGAAAAAAAAAAAAGATTGTAATAGCCAGTGACCCAAGGCCCCTAACTGTAAGTGATTCTTATCGCCTGTCCTCTGTCTCCCATGGCTCTTATGTCAGGACAAACAATTATTTGGCACTTAATTCTTTCCTTTTACTATTCATTTTGCATTTCAGCCACTTATTTTCCTTTCCATTTATTGAATCCACCTTTCCCTAGGTTATAGCATCATCTATGGTTGATTTTTCTGGCCTTCAGCCCTCTTGTTTCTTAATTTCTTAAAATGATCTATTTTTCTTTATTATTCATAGGCAGAAATGTAGGTATAGAACTTATGCATACCCCAGAAACTTTCCATTTTTCCCTCTGGCAAAAGGTGTGAGTGCCATGCCAGGTTCTTATGTTTTTGCTCTACCGAGGTTTGAATCCAGTCTCTCTATCTACCTAAAAAAAATTCCTGAGCTGTTAGCCTCTGAAGACAGAGCTTTAGGAGAAGTCGAGTCAACCTACTTTCAGATACCTATTGGGCATTCATTTATTCAAGTAGTCTATAGACTCAGGAAAATAAAATTTGAGTAGTTAGATGAGTAGTTGGAACTCCGTAGATGGCGAGGATGGGTTGATATATGAAAGTAAATGGAAGAAATTGGGACAAAAGTAAGTTTATAGGTGGTGGATGAGCAAGAGTCAGTAAAGTATCAGTAAAATAGTACAAGCTACCTGCATTTAAACATTATGCATCTATATCAAAGTAAATTCTATTCAGCTGTTTTGTTTTTAAAGAATTTATTTATTTATTTGTCAAGAGAGAAAGAGAGAGAGAGCACAAGCAGGGGGAGCAGCAGGCAGAAGGAGAAGCAGGCTCCCCACTGAGCAAGGAGCCCAATGTGGGACTCGATCCCAAGATCCTGCTATCATGACGCTTAACCAACTGAGCCACCAGGCGTCCCTTATTCACCTCTTCATTATTATTTATCACAGGGATTATGACCGGGAACAGTTTGCTGATAACCAGATCCCACTGTTGGTAATAGGGACTAAACTGGATCAGATTCATGAAACCAAGCGCCACGAAGTTTTAACTAGAACTGCTTTCCTGGCTGAGGATTTCAATGCAGAAGAAATTAATTTGGTATGTGTTCTCACTAATGTATACTTGTGTTATCACTAGATAAAGGCAAAACCAAAGACTTAACGAGTCACAAATTCTTTTTTTTTTTTTTAAGATTTTTTTTTTAATTTATTTATCTGACAGAGATCACAAGTAGGCAGAGAGACAGGCAGAGATGGGGGTGGAGGGGGAAGCAGGCTTCCTACTGAGCAGAGAACCTGATGCGGGGCTCCATCCCAGGACCCCAGGATCATGACCTGAGCCAAAGGCAGAGGCTTTAACCCACTGAGCCACCCAGGTGCTTTATACTAAAATCAGGCATTTGGGTTCTGGTCCAAAATGTAATGAAGATTAGAATCAACATAGACTGTCAGATGGGGACAGTCGGTTCAACTTCCTTGAATGCTGATCTGTTGGAATGTTCAAACTTTGTCCTATGAATAATATAAATCTTGGGCTTTTTCTTAAAAAGATTTTTTAAGATCACACCAAAATAATTAGGGTAACAAAGAAAGGTCACTGACACCTTAATTATTCTTGCTTTAGAAAAGCCTCTTAGTTCCTTAAGCTACTGAATTTAACTTAAAGGGCAAACAAATAGATAAATGAGAAAACTACAAATTGTAAACTAGGAGTGCTTCAAAAGCATAGAGTTTCTTCCTGAGATATGTAGCTCAGTTTGAACCGAACACTAAAAAGGCTAAGAAAAGTTCTCACATAAGCCAGATAGTGTGGCTCAGAGAAGGATCTTGGCCAACAGCCTCGGTCACCGTTTAAATGTCATTGTTCACAAGTTGGATTTCTGCGACATATTCAGTGCCCTGGCAATTCCAGACATACGGTGGTAGTGGCTGTTTCATGATACTAGTGACTGTCATACACTGAACACTTAATTTGTGCCACACACTGTTCTAGTGCTTTATGTACATTATCTCATACTTGTCTTCACATCAACACTATAAGGTAGGTGCTGTATTTCCATTTTAAAGATGAAGATTAGAACCAGAAAGAGGTAAGTAGGCCATGGTTATACGGCTCAAACCAGGCACTCTGACTCCCAAGCCAGTGCTCTACAATTAAGCCTATTTTCCACTTAATTATTGTCCAGCTAACATTTAAAATCTCAGAGTTGAAAGAACTCTTAGAAATCATCTAGATCACTAATTACCCAAACCTGACTGCATACTCATATTATCAATGTAGCTGTGAAAAAATTTGAATAAGTGCCCCACAGCTGGAGCTTTTCATTCATAAGGTCTGACAAGAGGACCAGGACTGTAATTTAACTAATGACTCAGGTAATTTTGATGCCCTTAACCCTGTACATCAACATTTGTGAACACTGCTTGCTTCAGACCAACCTCTCCCCAATAACAGCATCAACTTCTGCCTGCCATTCCATTGTTTTTTACATTCTGCATTGCCATGGGGGGTACCTTATTTTTCTCACCTGCCACCATGGAATATTCAGTGTAAATGCCCTAGCTGGTTGCACTGGACCATAGTATTCCAGAGGACTCCTGTTAACGTAGAGTATATCATATCTTTGTTGAAGCAGTGCTGAAGTTACTTTGTTTGAACATTATTTGCAGTGGGAAATTACCATTGAATACACTTAATTTGTTCCAGAAATTACTTTCAGTGTATTTTGGAATATATCTATTTGTAGTACTCCTGGGTTTTTGTGACCATCACCTGGGTATGTATTTTTCCTATTTTCCTTGCAAAGGGAGGGCCATCTTTTAATTGTTAACAAGATATAAAGGTACTCAGGTAGTGGTACTTTGGCACACATGGTTTCCACAGAGTTCACATACAACATACTTTTGGCCTGTTATCAGTGTACAGATTCAAGAACACAGCAGAAACAACAGGAGGGTTTTGAGGATGCAGGGGAAGAAAAAATGAGGAGGAAAATTTGATACGAGTTTCAAAAAGAAATAGCAGTCAGAAAGACTCAGCAAGTAAGTATAAAGCCTCCAGTAAAAATGTAACGTGACAATATTTGTGCTAGCATCTTTGGTTACTATATGAATTTACTTAAAACTATTTAAAAAAAAACATAAGAATCAACATAAATGTCTATATCAAAGATGGAATCAATGTTACCATCTTATGCCTAAAAAACAAGTTGGTTTAAATTATAAATAGGGAGATGATTATTTGTTTTTTAAAATCCTGTTAGGCTTATTGTGTCTAGGACAGATTTTTCTCTGTTTACTTCAAAGTGATTATATTGAAGCATCTTCCCTAGTTAATATTCCTTTCACAAGCTTAGATAAGCTATTTAAAGCTATTAATCTTCAGTCTTTGCCCTCAGCCATGATCAGTGGCAGATGGCTCTTTAAACTCTAAAATTCTCATCCTAAGATCATAGGGTTTCTCTGGCCTGGTCAACCTGTAACTGGAAGCCCTAGAATTAAGTTTTGGGAGGTTCTGCTTGTTTGCTGTTTGATTTGGTTTTTATATTTAGCACTGTAGCTCTATTTGGAGTCATCTCTCAAGTGTTGACATTGTGATGACTAATGAATATCCATTTTGTAAAACATGTCTAACACAAATCTACCTCAGGTTTGTCTCTTATGTGCCCCAATTGCCATGTAAATGTGTTCAGACGTTATTTCTACAACAGTTTACACGATGATGTTTCAGTCTATTTGATCCATTCATGGAATTAACTTTTATTATATTAGGTGCTTTTGTGCCTGAAAATTCAATCTGATAGCATTTTCTTAGCATGAAAAGAGAAGGGAACTAATATTTCAGTATCTGCTATGTATGTGCCAGACATGCATTATCTTACTTAATTTTCACAAAAATCCTGTGGGATAAGTATTACATTATCCTCATAACACAAATGAGTAAGCCCAAATCTAAAGGCATAGTAATCTAACCAGTGTCACATAATGTAGAGATACTATGACAGATACTCAGATTCAAAACTTGCTGGCTTCAAAGACCTAATTTTTCTAGTACTCTAATGATTTTTGTAAAGTTTGTTGTAGTCTCTTTTTTTTGTGTGGTTTTGGAAAATGTATTCCAGCTTCCAGCCAAAATTAAAAATGTGAGCCTCAAAATATTATATGTGGATATAATAGGTGATTATTAGAAAATTTACCGGAAAGGAATCGTGTGGGCTTAAGAGATTACAAAACAGAATAAATGCAATAGCAGTGATTTCAGGAATTGCCCAAGGGACACAGACCATCTGCAACTGAAAGACAAATACAATCTTTGTAAAGGAGCCTACACGGTATCTTTAGAGTTTGGTCTTAGGTGGCATTTGAAGTAAAATCCAAAGTGCTCTATCTCTTAAGGTGGCGAGTTAATTATTACAAGCAAAAGCAACTTAACATTGAAATTCCAGGAAAGGATAATAAACCCTTTGAGATCTTTACTGATCATTGTAATTTACTAGTTATCTCATTTTAATGTTCCAGATTGTTTGGTCTCTTCTGGGCACCATTTTTTCCTTATTTTTCAAAATTCTATTTAATAGTAATATATCTATCATTCATTATTATTTAATTATCATTAAAAATAATACTTAATGATATTTAATAATAAACTTACTCTTTATTGTTTATTACTATCAAAAAATATATCATTCATTATTATCTTTATGGCCTACCGAATGGTGTAGTACTTTGCATTCAATGAGTGAGAAATCCCTGGCAACTGTTCTGTATGTTCTTTGCTCCTCTAACTCCTTATTTTCATGACTCCTGCTATTCATATGAACTGCATAGTACTTAATTAGATGATGCTAGTGGGTAACTAGTACTAAAACATTAAGTGTTAACAGTTTTTAATGGCTCTGTTTCTGCTCTTAGGATAAATGTAGGTGAGTCACATGATTAGTGTCTTGGTTTTGTTATTAGATTAGCAATCCTGTCTTCCTTTATGAATTATTTGATGATGAATACATTGGTTCAGTGTCTTTTAAAATTCAATAAATAGCAAAAAGTGGCCTTTACCTTCCTTTAGCACTTTGCTTTGTGCGTCATAACTTGAAAATTACTTGAATATTTTATGAGAGTATTATGCCTAACATTTTATTATAGAAATACGCAACAGGAACAGTAATGACTAACAAAGAGCTTATGTTTCTTAACTTTTAATGGTGCATCTTGTTTTTATCTTCTAGGATTGCACGAATCCACGGTACTTAGCTGCAGGTTCTTCCAATGCTGTCAAGCTCAGTAGGTTTTTTGATAAGGTAATAGCTTCAATTAAGTTATTTTTAAACTTAATTTATATATTATGAGAGTTTAAATTCTTTGTAGAATGCTTTGTCCTTTTATTCCTTCATCCTGAACTTCATAGCCTGAATACTTGTTTTGCTCTCTCTTATCTCTTGGTATAATTGCTCAAGTCCTGCTGACGTATTTATTTTATCACCAGTGTTCTCTAAGCAAAGGATGAAAGCTACTAGATTTAAATGAGTTATTTTAAAAGTTACCTGATTTCCCTCCTTAAAACAGATTATATTTTCCTATTTTCCAGCTCTTTTTGTACTTACTCACATCCCCTCAACCCGCATGAACCCAGGAGATTCTGCTTAGTTAAAGCCCAGAGTTCTTTTTCCTCTCTCAGCTAATATTCTCCACATAAATGTTACCTTTATTTTTAAGGTTATGTCATCTCCTAGATTCCCTAATTTTTCTTATCAGAAAGCTTGTGTTCCAAATATTGACTCTTGCTAGCATCATCTTATGGCCTGAACTGGAATGAAAATGTTGAATGACTCAGCATACCGGAGATTTTGAGCACTGTTTGTCTTTCCTTCACAAGGCCATGTAGCTGCATCACACATAGTATTGACGAAGTTTAAGGTGTTTGCCTAATGTTGACATGACAAAGTAAAGTGAAAGAGAACATATTTCTGTATGTAGTATTGAAAAAGATTAATTTCTGTATTACATTTCCTTTTAAGGATACAAGAAAAACACAGCCCTTCTCATAACTCTTCTTTATGAATCATTTTTCTTTTACCATTTAGGGATCTCCTATTTCGCCCTTTTGTCCATTATGTCATGATAAGATAAGCCTCACACCCCTTAGACCACTGGGAAATTTTGCTTCATTGCACAACTTCCCAACTGGAGTGTGGCAGAGACGGTACAGGTGTGCCAACATAGTCCCTCAGTTCAAGCAGCCAGAGTCCGTTGGGCTGAGTGATCGGCAACCCCCTTCATTTAACCCAGTGTGCGGTACAAATATTAGTATTTTCTAAACGTGCCGTGACATGAAAAATGTTGGGAAGCACTGCAAGGGACCAGATTTTCTTTCCACGTTTTTTTCAAACTTCAAACATAAGAACTTCTGTTTCATTTAGACCCGTGTCCCCATCTGATACAATCTTCTGTGCCCTGAGAACAACAGCTTACAGATCTTTGTCTGACTCAGAAAGATTCCACAACATATTGGTTAAATTTGTTAATAATTTGTTAATTTGGAAGTTGGTGAAGGGAATAAAAAGGAAAAAACTTTCAGTTATAAAATGTATAAGTCACAGGAATGAAAAGTACAGCATAGAGAATATACTCAATAATATAGTAACTTTGGTGACAGATGGTAACTGCATTTACTGCATTTTGTAATGTATATAATTGTCAAATTACTATGGTGTAATAACTGGAAACTAATATAATATTGTATGCCAACTATACTTCAATAAAAAACAAATTCTTTAAAATATGTAGTGGTGGAGCGCCTGGGTGGCTCAGTCAGTTAAGCAACTGCCTTCAGCTCAGATCATGATCCTGGAGTCCTGGGATTGAGTCCCGCATTGGGCTGCCTGCTTAGCGGGGAGTTTGCTTCTCCCTCTGACTCTCCCCCACTCTCATTGTCTCTCAAATAAATAAATAAAATCTTTTTTAAAAAAATACATAGTAAGTTAGATCCTAGAAAAACAATGTGTTATAGACTCGGGTTGTGACCCGAGTTGTTCGGCAAGACTTGATTTAAAAAAAATCAGAGGGAGCTTGGTTAGTTTTAAGTTTTAAGAAGAGAGCAAGATTTGGTAAGAGAAAGACACTGCAAGTTGAAAGTAGGAAATTATGAGCAGCAACAAAAAGGTACCTTCTCTCTTCATCACCTAAATCTCAGTGAAAGGTATGTGGATTCGGAAGTTGGCCAGACCTCCAGACTAAGGTGGTTGCCTGAAACCACAGGACCCAGCAACTAAATTTTGTCCAGTTTTCTATTTTAGTATAAAGATTTATTTTCCAAGAGGGAACCTAGGTCCTCCTCCAGATTCCTGTTAGGAGTGATTCCTCCCTCCTTTAGAATGTTAGGATTTTCCTGGCATATTTGGAGGGAAAGAAAATCAGCCTCTTCTTGGTTTTTGTGGGATCGAGCATTTTGAGATCTAGGCATCATAAACCAGCTTTTCTACCTTTGGGACCAGCAAATGCAACCTTACCCTCGGTCTCCTGGGGCTAAAAGTAACCCAGCCATAGTTTCAAAGAAAGAAAGAATCCAGATGATTTGGCCATCAAGCCAGTGAAAGCAAGGTAGCACAGCCCTGGAAGAAGATGCCATGCTCTTATTTAGGGGAATTCTTAGTTTCATAATTCTGGATTCCAGTGTCTTAGATTTAATCTGCAGCTAATGGCTTTTCTTAGCCACAACAATTCTGTGTAAAGAAAATCATACTGCGTCTGCAAACATGACAGTTTGTCCAGTGTTAGAACAGAATTCGTCATTTTTTAAAAAGATTTATTTATTTGAGGGAGAGAGCAGGCATGCGAAGCAAGGGGGATGGGTAGAGGAAGAGGGAAAGAAGCAGACCCCCCATTGAGCAGGCTCCTATCACCACCCTAAGATCGTGACCTGAGCCAAGACCAAGACTTAGATGCTTAACTGACTGAGCCACCCAAGTACCCCTCATTATTTTTTTAAAATTATTTTCTGTCATCTGAATTTTAATCTCTAAACACATTTTAAACTCATTATATTAGGGCATATATTCTGAGAGCATTTTTTCAGTAGTAGTGATGGATTTGTGCAGATACATCCACTGCTTTACCTCATTTCTCTTGCTGACCAAATACAGACGGTTCTGAAACTACTGAATCAAGGGTGTGGATTCGGACCATGGAAAGGAGCTCACTGAATGCTTCTGATCTCCATTGAGGACCTACTGAATTTATCAGTGTTCACCCTGGGGATATGGCAGTTCACATAGTTTACAAACTCCTCTGTAAGGAATAGCTGGACTATTGTAGTAGTAAAAGTGCTCTGCTTTTATCTTGTGGATTCTGTTTTGTATATCTGGGCTGACTGCTGGAAATTTGAGCCAGATTTGCTTCCATGCACTGAGAACTGCATGAGTTATTATTATGTCATTCACTGATTATTTAGTCATTTTTGTGTGTTCATTTATTTTTCGATCTATTATTAATGCTTTGGGGAAAGAGGCAAGCTTTTATGGAAATACGCCTACATCTTATTAGCTCTAGATGTAACTCGTTGTACTAAATGTCCATAACTATTGAAAAGACTCTTAATTTAGATATATGCCTTTGAGTCCCATTAGTGGCAACTGCAGTGAACCACTTCTCCAGGGACAGTTGTTAAGCCCTAAAGTCTTTATTTGTTTCTCACAGGTCATAGAGAAGAGATACTTTCTGAGAGAAGGTAATCAGGTCTGTATCTGTTCTTAATAAAGTGGGTTATTAAACTGAGGGAGAGGTGATTTCCAAATTTAGTTTCAGAAGTGGTTGAAAAAGGAGGGGGGAATCTTTTGTAGGCACAAGCGTTTTCTTCTGTCCTCAGCACAAAAGAAAAAAAAAATCAGATCAAGGGAAAATAAGGTTCCAAGAAACAAAAAGAACGCTGGGATAAGGTTATATTATAATATAATAGAAGGAAATCATTTGCTTAAGACTCCAGAAGTATATACGCAGAACCCATCACAATGCAGGCAATTCCGATAAAAGTGCAACTGGTGGGTGTTATGAGATTGACCTTCATCTCCCCTGATTTAGATGACACTACCACCAATTTGTTGGCAAATGTTTTCCATTTCGGTAGAATTTATTTTACTATTTGATCAGAGTAAAACCTCAGAGAGACAGTTCTTTAAGGAACAACAACAGACCAACATACAGACACAGAAAATAAGGGAGAAAATGGTAAAAGCTATTAGCATTTGAACTCCGCATGCTGACTTAACGTGATTCTCTTTCTTGCCGACAGATTCCCGGCTTTCCTGATCGGAAAAGGTTTGGGGGAGGAACATTAAAGAGCCTTCATTACGACTGAATCGCACTCATCATCTCGAAGAGTGAGCAAGCCGTGGCAGTCATGCACAGCCTCCTTCTTGCCGTGTTGATGATTAATGTTGCAGCCTTTTCACAGAATCATCTTAAAAGGCCACCCTTCAGCCGCACCTTTCAATGGAAAGCTGAAAGGAAGTGACCGTGTGGGAGGTCCAAACTTTGTCCCCGTCCTCTCTGTTCCTCACCTTTCTGTCCCTGTTTCTAGATTATGTAAAAGCCCTGTGGAAATAGGAGATGTTGTCAAAGTGATGCAGTAAATGAGCAGTGACAGAGTGCTGCAGAGAAAATTTACTCTTCCCAGAACTGGAAGGTTTTTATAGGTCTGTAATTTTCCCCACACTCCCTGCTGGAGGCTTAATTAAGTACTTCAGAAATGTATCTCTGTTGTTTGACCCTCTTGAGGGGAAAGGTTATGTTAACCAGCCCTGGGTCATGCAACCCAAACAGTCTCTGTCATTTTCAAAGAAGCAAAATGGTGTTATTTAATTGTGGCCCCTCTCATTGCACACAGGGATGCCTAAGAATAGCAGCCCTCGTCTCCCACTCCTATGCTTTGCAAGTGGTTTGGTGGCTAGAAGAGGCAGGCTCAGAACTGGAGTTAAATATAAATAGATTAATAATACATAGAGAATGGCAGTACCAGAAAAGAATTCTCCAAGAGATGGACAGCTCACTCACTAAATCCTTCACTCTAGGTTCCAGATGTCTGCACTGTCTTATTGTGTTCTATTTGGAAATAGGTGGGGTGAGATCTCAGACCTGTATGACGGCACCAAGAGAGAATTACGGCCTCTTTGTTTCTGGGTTTGTTTTTTTTTTTAAGGAAAGTCAGCTCCTGAAATGCCTCTTAACTGTAGTCAGTAAACTAAGAATTTTATTCTGTCAACAATGTATTTATGGAGAGAAGTAAAAATAAGTTCCACAGCAACACATTTACATGAATTATGGACTAGGATTCTTAGATTTCATAATCCAACGTTTTTTGAGGGTGGTGGTGTATATGTGCGTATGCATAATTGTTCATCGTTACTTTTTTTACCTATCTTTTCTGCTTGTTTAATTCTCTCTGCCCTGGTTCTTTAATATATAGACCTCGTTTCCAAAAACTGCAATTTGCTGCCTTATTCAACACCCATTTTCCTGCTTTGGCTCTGCAGCAGGTCAAAAATCACTCCTGATTTTGTTCCATATTAACAATAATAAGCATACAATTTCAGCTTTGCATTTTAAAACTAGGCAAAAAACACTAAATTCACTTTCTCTTGCATTTTGATTAAATTTCAGAAGTCCTTTGGAAACCCAGGTATGCTAAAAAGAGGCACTTAGAATAAGAACATTAGGCAGTGCTTTTAGAAAAGCAGTTGTAGCAATTTGGAAAAGGATTTTTAAAGCACTTTTCGTCAGCTAGAATATTCTCCAGTCTTTCTTCGCATCCTCGGCCACAAGACTTAGCCCTGATTTTTTTTCCCACAAAAGGGAGCTATGCAAATCAGGCTCTGTATGTGGAGTTTGGCACAAGCCTGTTGTGACAGACTTGCAGGTAGGAAGCAGGAAGTCAATGCATAGACAAAGACCTGAGCCAACTAAAGCTCTTTGTATTCCTCTTTTAAGAAATAAATTTTTAAAATTAGGATATAAAAAAATAAAATACAACAACACAAAAACAAAAATTACCATATAACCTTTTCCTCCTCTCCCTCTTCCTCTTTCTTCCCCTTCATTAAAAAAAAAAAAAAATCTCAGTCTCTTTATTTTCTCCCTTATTAAAAAATAAAAGTCACCCATCACTGATGGCTTCAGGGTCAGCCTTGAAAACAGATCAGTACTCCTCAACTCTATTTCTTCTTGCTGTCAGGCTTGACTCCCTAGATTGTAGTTTTCTGGGAAAAAAATGATTTTTAATCTATAGTAAATTTGCTGCAAATATTAGTAACAGCAAAACAAGGCTGTTTGCCAAAATAAATGTTGTTATGTTATTAGCCAAAGTTCTTCAAAAAGAAACATAATTTTTCCTAAGATTTCCTGAGACCTGTTCATCAGAATTGCTTTTGGATAATCAACCAATGTAAATACTGAAATACTTCCTGAAAAGTGCTAATTAAATCTTTAATTTTCTTGATGAAACAAGTGACTGGCAATAGAGAAAGGTTCTTTTGGGTTTTTTTTTCCTGTTGTGATTTAGATGTCTAACAAATATTACTTATGGTGGAGGCAATCAGAAGTGAAGGCATATGGTCACTCCTCTGTCCCTGAGGTGGCAGGGCCCTCTGTTGGAGTCCAACTAAAGATTGGATTGGCCTCTCCACATCCAAGCTCTGAAAAGAATTGCTGCTCCCAAAGGGGTCAGTCCATAGCAGCTATATCTCCGGTTCTCAGAACTCCCTAGAAACTGAGGCATCCATGGTGGATTCCGAGTGCCTTGACACTGCTGTTTATCTGTCCATTCTGAAAACGGACTGCGTGGGACTGACGTGCTGGGCCTTCAGACTGAGATGAAGAGCTCTAATTGCTGCCATGACCAGAGCTTTTGCACGTCCATTTCAACGGTGTACGCCGGAGCACCCAGCCTAGAGAGGACCTTCTATGGGTTTTTAATAAATGTTGGTTTAATTGAAATTTTTAAAGCATGAGTAGCATCTATTTTAAGTTTGAAGATCTAAAAGGATGTCTGCATTGACTTAATATCTGTTAAAATTCCAAGGAGGATACTGTTTGGGGGAAAGAGGAGAAGGAAATAAAAAATTCATTCCTCTGTAGTCCCCAGACTGAGTTAAATCACTGTGGTAGGAGAGGAAAGTTTCTGGGAGATCTAGTCCTGAGAGAACCCCGAGCCCTTCAAATATTCTCTGGTATGTTTTCCTGAGGCAAAATTTGAGCTTGAGCCTTAGAGTACTAGAAAGGGGTCCGACTTTCAGTAACTATTAGCATCTCCATTAAAGGGCTCAGAGCAATGGCTTTTTTAAACTCAAATGTGCATTGAATTCCTCTGAAGTTTTTAAAATGCAAATCTTGGGATTTCATCTCTCCCACTCGCCAAATTCTGTGTACATAGGACAGAGCCAAGGTTTTATATTTTTCACAGACAAACCAGGTGATTCTGATGCAGATAGTCCAGGAGCCACACTTTGGGAAAGATGATAAACTCCTATCACAAAGCAGAGAATACATCAATGTAGGCTCTCTCTTAATGGCACCTTTACAGTTCGTCAGAATTCACCTTGGGCTTCCTTTCCGTGATCTCACCTTAATGAACTGAGCTGCTTGTCCCTCAGGGTTATACATGCCACAGCAATCATGAAATGACAGTCACATCCTCTATTGGCAAAACAGGAAATGATTGTTTCTGATGTACTGCTACCATTTTTATTATTACCATGTTCTATGTTCTAGGTGTATCTATTTCTAATAAGATGCCCTGCCATCTTATCTGCAGTCCCTTTCTTGTACCACATTTGTTTTCTCAGCGAGCTAATCACTAAACTTTACCAAGGTCACTGGTCAAAGACGAAACCCCTGAACTCCCAACAAATATGTAAAATCTTGCTCAGTTACACCTACCAGTGCCGTCTGTTTCTTGGAGATCCTCTAACTATAACTCCTCTAAGTCCATCCTGGAGTGATTACTCTGCAGGCTTGTCACACTCCTTCACATTGCCCTATAATAATCCCCAGCTCCCAGGATGTAATGTTTTCTATTTTCTTGGTGTGGATCAGTGGTCATCCAACTGGGATGGGTATAAATATCCCCCCCCAAGACTTTCAGTATCCCCAAGAGGTACTTGGGCCTAGATAAGTTTAGGGTAATCATTTTCCAAGCCATCTATCTGCACGTGTATGCTAAAGTTGATCAGCTTGTGAACACAGCTCAATGCCAGTTACTTCCCACTTGTGCGTGCTTTCACAATTGTCCTTTTCCCACAACAAATAGATACCTCTTACATTGGAATATGATATATTGCCCCAGGGAGTATATGTCTTAGGATGCCAACAAAAGGACAATTCTAAATATTTTATTTAAGGACTTTATTCCACTCACACAATTACTATTAAAGAAAAGTACAGACCTCTCAAGGAAGTGTTCCTGAGAGCAAAGTAAAGAATTTTGGTAAGAAACATCCAAGGCTGGGGCGCCTGGGTGGCTCAGTGGGTTAAGCCTCTGCCTTCGGCTCAGGTCATGATCTCAGGGTCCTGGGATCAAGCCCCAAATCGGGCTCTCTGCTCAGCAGGGAGCCTGCTTCCCCCTCTCTCTCTGCCTGTCTGTCTGCCTACTTATGATCTCTCTCTATCTCTCTGTGTCAAATAAATAAAATCCTAAAAAAAAAAAATCCAAGGCTACGGCACATTCTTTCATGGCAAGGCTTCTTGCTTGATCTATCAAAATATCAAAATAACATTTTTGTGAAAAATAATTATACAGCCAAAGGAGTATAAAATTAATGTATTTTCCCTACTCTGTCTGAGTAAATGAGTTAGAAGAGGCCCATCCAAGTGAAAGGGTAACATTTAAAGTCAGTGATTCCAATAGGTGAGTAACCAAGCCTCTTCCAAGCAGGTTTCCAATTATGTCCTTGCAACAAAATTAAAGGAGAACCTAACTCAGTTGTTGTAGGTCATTAAAAATTATGTTTAATGATAGATCACTATTTGATTTTTGATATTTAATTCAGAAGGAGCAGTGATATTGTAATAAAATTCCTTATTTCTGACGAATTTTTTTAACTCATCTGTAAAACCAAAAAATAAGATTAAATGATGCTGAATCCTGTCTTATTCCAGAAATAAGAATTACAAGTGAGAATTATTAATTCCATGGATATATGAACTAATGGGGGAGGCATCCACCTTATTAAGAGAAATATTTCCAGAAAAAATTTACCTTTTATTTTTATCATTTATCAAAATATATAATATGTCTGGATTACTGTCCTAGAGAAGAATCTTCCAGTTTCCTGACTGGAGGTTAAAATACTTCCTGATAGCATTCTCTTAAAGTACAATGAAAGAAGGGGTCTGGAGTTTTAGTCAATCACTTCTTATACTTGGTGTGGGACCTACTCTCCACTCCCTGTTACTTGTGAGCCTGGAAGTCCTCTGACTTTTCTTCTGGAGCTTTTGTAGAGCATAAACAATTTGTACTAGAATCTGGGAGAAGCAGATATCTGGTTTCTCCGATTCCTGGTCCTTTTCAAATTCTCCACCTCACACGTTCCCTGTATCAGTTCACTGACTCTATCCTCCTCGCCTGGTTTTAGCATCTTTGTTCTTGTTTCTCACAACTTTGATACTCTGACTCTGTCTGGTTCAGGATTTGTTTGCCTTGTCCTACACAACGTGCTCTCTCCACTGCGTGTCTTTTGAATGCTAAAAACTACACCCTGCCCAGAAGGCAGGCCTCTTCCCCAGCTCCAGTTGTCTCCCAAAACTCTCCCCTTCCAGATCTTTCCCTCACTAGACACCTCCATTCTGCCCTAAACACGGTTCTTTAAAGACACTGCTCTTCCTTTTCTCCATGTTTGCACACACTCTTTCCTCTGCTCGTGCCTTATCCAATTCATTCTATGCGACTTGGCTCAGATATCGTCTACTTTGGGAAGCCTTCCCTGCCCTCCTATTGAGGACTATGTGCCCCTCAATCCCTCTAATTGCACCCGGGCTCTTCCCTGTTACAGCTAGTCTGGTTCTGTTATAAAAGCCTGTTTATTTTAGTCTTCTTCAGCATGTGCTCTAGTGAGAACAGGACTACGTTAGTCATCCTTGTATCCTCTACCTCTCAAAGGATCTAGCACATAGCAGGTCCTCAAAAATTGTAAAATAAAGCAATGAGTGTGTGATTGCATTAATTAAGATGGAAAATCATCAGACATAAAATCAGATAATTCCTGAGTTTTATTTATTCTCATATCCCCTGTGTATATAGCACAGTGCGTGGCACATAGTAGTTACATAAAGACATGATTTATTGTGTCACAATCATAAAAACAGAAAAAGGAAACACAGTTAAGGCAGTTGGGAGAAATCCATAAAGTTCAGGGATAGGTTATTCAATTTTCAAATATCTTCAAGCCTCTCAAAGTAATTTTCTTCCGGTCAGGGATCTGTGACCACT